CCGTGGGCGGATCCGTGCCCGGCAGCTCCTCCTGTCCGGCGGACGACGACTGCCGGAGGCACAGGTGGTGAGATGATGTGCTCCTGGAAGTCGTCGTCCGCCCGCACCGAGTGCAAGATGGACCTCACCCTCCTCTTGCAGAGGGGGCACTCGGGCTTGCTCTCAGCCCACCGCAGGATGCAGCTGTAACAGAACTGGTGGAGGCATGGCATCACGTAGCTGGCCTCCTCCCTGCTGCCCAGGCAGATGGGACAGCGGTCTTCCAGCTCCGTGGCCATGCTCTCCACCTTCTGCGGTGGGCTGGGGGGAACTGGGGGTCTTGAGCTGCTCCCTCTCACCGGCGCTGCAGCAGCTGGTGTTACGCTAGAAAAGGAAGAGAGGCCACGGTCATTGGCTGTCCCAGGGAGATATGGAAGACATGCCCAGGTCCCTCCAGACAGAAACCCTCCCAGCTCCCCAGGGTGAGGTTTCCCCTCCCAGTTCACCTCTGCTGCTGCGAGTGCGCCTCCTGGGTGCCCCCGCTGCCTGAACCTGGGAGGGCCAGGGGAGATCCTCTAATGGCTCTGGGGTCAGGTATGGGGAACTGCAACGAGCAACCCCCCAAGCTCAACACCAGCACCGAACTCTTCTGCCTGGAGTGTGGGCTCGAGCCGGCTGCATGGAACTCGGTGCCCAGATACAAGCAGCCAGGGGCACCTGGTCACAAACCCTAACTAGGAGATGTCACAGCCCATCCCTCGGTGACAACAGAGTCCATCACTAGGGTACTTGGAAACATCAGAAATCATCGCTCTGGGACATCACAGCGGGCCATCCTCACTGATGGCGTTCACCCCGGCAGCTCTGCGGCCACAGCGCATGTATTTGTGGTTCCTGCCATGCCACTGCCCACTCTATCCATCCCCCCACCTCTTTTCCTGTGCTCGGCATCCATGTTTCACACCAGTCACTGAGGCCATGGCCGTGTCTTCCCAGGACACTATCAGGTTGCTCTGGCTTTAGGAGTCATCTCCAGGCACATGCAGCAAGAAGTTGCATTGGATAACACCTTGTGCCTCTCAGGGAGGCTGCAGGACAAAGTCCCACAGTCTCTCCTTGTACGCCAGCACTGCTGGCCAGCCCTCTGGGCTACCCTGGTGGCTCCCACAGAGGATCACAGGCAGCCTTTGGCTCATTCTAGTGGGTTTTCTCCTGTCTTTCTCCCTTAGCCAGAGGGCACAAGGCTGGTCCCCTCTGCTCCGCACACATCAGGCCTCAGCAGCGCAGTATGTCATTTTAGGGTCCTGGGCAAGAGGGAGGCCGACAAACAAGAGGGGCTCAGAGGAGGCAAGGAGGGTCTCTGGGGCTGCTTCAGCATGGAGCAGAGAAGATGTCGAGGCACCTCACAGCACACCCCGGTGCCTATGGGGAAGGCATCAAGAAGATGGGGACAGGCACTTCCCAGCACTGACTGGTGGGAGGGTGAGACACGGTGGCATCTCCTGAAACTAGAGAGGTTTGGGCTGGAGATATGGAATCAAAACCAAAATCCTTATGAGGATCATGACGCACTAGAGTGGGTTGCCCAGAGATGAGGCGGGATCCCCGAGCCTGCAGGTCAGCCTTCAAGACCCGAGTGACCCCAACCCAGAGCATACAGGTCTATATCCATTGTTGACCCTGCACTGAGCCAGTGGCTGGAAACAAGACCTCCTCGGTCCCCTTCTAGTAGGAGCGGCTCTGTGGTTCGGTGATTGGTATGGCCAAGTATGAAGAGGAACTTCTGAGCGTGGAAGCCTCGGGACTGGCAGAAAAAGGGCTGTGAGAATGGCAGGTGTTGACGGTGCTCACACTAGCACTTCCACAAGATCACACCTATGTGCAGCCTCTCTGGACACCCAGGCAGGGACAATCCAGGAGATGTGAAGAGGCCTCCAAAGGTCGTGTCTCTTGTCCTCCGTCTCACCTCCAGTAATTCTGTCCAGACTAGGTGGAAATGCACCCTTCGGTCGAGCACCATCCTGTGCCCATCTGCATGGGCCAAAGGTCCTCAAGGCAGAATGGTGGGCGCTCGTCTAGAGCAAAGGCTGCAGCTCGGGCCCGGGGCTCTGCACCGTCCACCCCAGCGGTGGCCAGTGTCTCCAGCCAGACGGAGCTGCTGAAGGGAGAGGTTGCAGTGCAGACCTCAAACTGCAGGAGCCGCCTGGACCTTTCTCCCGGGGCAGGGACAGGCTGCACGACTGCCTGCAAAGGTGTGCCCAGGTGGAGGAACTCCGGCAGCAGGTGGCTGAGCTGCAGCAGGCGGTGCATACGGGAGGCTGCGTAGCACCAGGGAGGCTGAGAAGGAGATAGACGGCTGGTTACAGATGCAGCTTGCAATAGACCCACAGCCCGCAGCCAAGCAGTCAAGAACTGCCAGGCTGGCACACACAGACGGAAGGGAGGCCAGTAACACAGAACGCAAGCTTGTAACAGCAGGAGAGCACCTGCAGGGCAGCTTAAAGGGAAAACAGCCCCTCCAGCCAGGGAGCTAGATTCATCAGGGGCCCAACTAAAATGCCTCTATGCAAATGCACATAGCATGTGGAGCAAACAAGAGGAGTTAGAGGTGTGTGCACGCCTGCAAGGCTGGGATCTAATCGGCATCATGGAGACACGGTGGGATGGCGGCTATGACTGGAGTGTCGAAATGGACGGATACAGACTCTTCAGAAGGGCAGGCAGGGGAGATGAGGAGGGGGTGTCGCCCTCTACGGCAAGGACCAGCTGGCGTGCATGCAGCTCTGCCTGGGGATGGGTGAGGAGCCAACCAAGAGCCTCTGGGTCAGGATTAAAGGGAAGGCAGGGACAAGTGGTGTTCCTCGGGGGTCAGTACTGGGACCGCTACTGTTTAACATCTTCGTCGGCCACGTGCATGTTGGGATTGAGTGCATCCGCAGAAAGTTTGCCAACGATACCAAGCTGTGTGGAGCGGTCACCATGCTGGAGGGAAGGGGTGCCATCCAGAGGGACCTGGACAGGCTGGAGAGGTGGCCCCATGCAAACTTCATGACGGTCAAGCAGGCCAAATGCAAGGTCTACACCTGGGTTGCGGCAATCCCAAGCTTGTGCTTGGGATCTCCACCTACTGGGTGGAGAATGGATTGAGAGCAGCCCTGCGGAGAAGGGTTTGGGGGTGTGGGTGGATGAGAAGCTCAACATGAGCCAGCACTGTAAGCTTGCAGCCGAGAATGCCGACCGTATCCTAGGCTGCATCAAAAGAGGTGTGGCCAGCAGGCTGAGGGAGGCGATTCTGCCCCCCTACCCTGCTCTGGTGAGACACACACACACACACCCCCCCCGGAATATTACATTCAGCTCTGGAGCCCTCAATGCAAGAAGGACAGGGAGCTGTTGGAGCGGGTCAAGAGGAGGGCCACGAAGGTGCTCAGAGGGGTGGAGCACCTCTCCTGTGAGGGCAGGCTGTTAGAGTTGGGGTTCAGCCCGGAGAAGAGAAGACTCCAGGGAGACCTTATAGCAGCTTTCCAGTATCTGAAGGGGGCCTACAAGCAAGCTAGACAGGGACTTTTTACAAGGGCGTGTAGTGAGAGGACGAGGGAGGATGGCTTCAAAGTGGAAGAGGGTAGATTTAGATTAGATATCAGGAAGAAATTTTTCACTCTGAGAGTGGTGAGGCACTGGAACAGGTTGCCCAGGGAAGCTGTGAATGCCCCATCCCTGGAAGAGTTCAAGGCCAGGCTGGATGGGGCTTTGACTACCCTGGTCTAGTGGGAGGTGTGCCTGCCACGGCAGGAGGGGTTGGAACTAGATGATCTTTAAGATCCCTTCCAACCTAAAATATTCTCTGATTCTATGAAAGTCATGCTGTTTTGCCACCAGCGTCGTCCTTCCTGCTGGTGAGGAACTGAGAGTGGTCTCTATCAAGGTCACAGTTTGTCTGGAGCCTCCGAATTTCTTCTCTGCACGAGATGGTGATGTTGCCTTGTAGTTAGAATTTCAGTCATTTTTGTTAACATTTTAGTTGTTAGCTCTAAAGTTGTTAGCATTAAGATTGTTAGTTAGGCCTGTTAACTATTGGCATTAGCTGAACTTCTGATATAGGGTCTGGCGTATGACCATTTTGTTATGACTTGGCCAGATGGTCGGCCTTGGGAATGTTTCTTCACAAGTGTCTGGGGTAATTAATAGAGGAACTTTCTGAGACATTCTCATGGATAACGAGGATTCTATCCTTGGGTCGTATGAAAAAGAAGATCTAATCAAAGAGAGCAGGTGGTGTTGTCTTTCTTTGAAGTAAAACATCCTGGAGCAGACAAGCATATGAACCTTAAGGATGCTGCTAAATTACCATGTTTTGAAAGGCCTAGCCAACTTCGTGGAAATGTGAAAGTTCTGGGTGTCCTAAACTGAAATGCCTTCATTATAATACTAAAAATCACCACTGTAGGCCAACAACACCCTTGCCCATGTGAAGACCTTTCCCTTGAAGAGGTGCAGTAACTGAGGAGAATGACATATTATAATCATATGTAAATTATTAACCAATCATTGTAACTGGGAGTGTGCTACCTTGTAACTTTCATGTATAAATATGACAAGAAAGCTGGCATGGGGTGTGCATAAGTTGTGGAAATATTCCACTGTGAACCCTGGCCAGAATAAAGCTAAGTCTCCTTTCTCAACATAGTCTCTGTGTTTTGGGAGAATGGGGACTTAGACCTCTTTTGCAGGTAACAGGGAGACAACGACATCATCTAAGCCTTCAAAGGGTTTCCTGTGGAAATATGCCACAAAACAGGTATGTTCGCTGCCTGGGCAAGGAGAGCACTTTGGCACAAATGGTTATTTCTTACAGCAAAAAATCTGATTCTTTTTCTAATAGCTTCACTGTCTTCACCTCATCCTTACTGTTAGGGCCAAATCCTCAACTGCAGTAAATCAGCATGACACCTTTGAAGCCTCTGGTCATCATTATTTCTAATAAGTGAGAAATTATGCTGAGGGAGAAATATTGTCACATTTGTGGTTTTTTTCCTGAGATGTGGCATGCTTGGATCATAGAAGATAAGCTGCTACCAAGGCTGGCAACAGAAAACACTTCTGAAGATCCATGAGAAAATGGTGTTGGACTTTTCAGAACTAAAAAAGCCTCTGATCCAACTGCAATGTTAAAGATAAGCAAACCCAACTCAGAGTACTCTTTAAACTTTTATTGGCAAATGAATTTCACAGTACCTTAAGATTGTTTAAATGTGAATGGGAACGTTACGGCTAACCTCCTGAAACCTTAGTTTCTGAAAATCACATCCTTCCTTGTGGTTTTTTTTTTCTTTCTTTCCTGGCCAGTGGGAAGGATATATGCAAGAGCATTTATTGCAGAATCATTGTCATAAGCCTTCATTAAATAAGTATTTACTTGCTATCTAACTGTTCTTTCTCAGATGCCAAATGATTAGAAAAGACACACCTGGAAGCTGCAACTTTCTTGTTCAATTTTAACAGTTCATGTGGCCTTATGAGATTTGTGTGTGGTTTCTTGGGGCTTTGAGCAACCTGGTTTAGTGGAAGGTGTCCTTGCCCGTGGCAGGGGGGTTGGAACTAGACGATCTTTAAGGTCCCTTCCAACCTAAACCATTCTATATGCAAGAGCACAGAGTCACACTCTACTGAGAGGATGACACTGAGTCTCCTTTGGCATGGCGTATGTGATTGATCAGAGAAGCAATGTGGGGAAATCTGGCATTACACGTGAGCCAAACTTTTTCAAATTGGTGGCAGCAGATCTCCCTTATCTATTTCATTAAGGACTTATTAATCCTTGTTTGTGGCCTGAAACCCAAGATGGTGCTGTAGTCCTTAAAGAAAAGTTTCAAAGACTTAATTAATAGCAAGTTCCCATCAGTTTTACCCATGAGATACATTTCAAGACCATTCCATTATGCTTACGCTTGGTGCAAAGGCATTTGCCATGGTGCTGGGCCTCCTGGCCACAGGAAAAAGTGCTGTCCTAGGAAGGGAAGTGTTCTTTTTTGGGTACGGCTATTGGTGGAGGTTTGCTACTCCCCTTTGCCAGCTGTGCTTTTCATATGCAACTTTTTTTTACATCTCAGCTAAGGGCACTACCACAAACTCTGCTTCATATTCCACTTGTCATTTTCCTCATTTCCCAGCCTTTTGAGAAACTCTCTCCTCATTTTTGCATTTCTCTTTTCTTCAAACCTCAATAATCCTCTTCTTTTGATACAGCTCTTTGTGTATTAATTTTCTGGAAAGCAAAATGTCAGTGTCAGTTTGGACTCCGCAGCAGGCGTAAAAACATATTTATTAAAGAGCAAGAGTCTTTCTTGTTCTTTAAATCAGTAGCTGTTTTTCCTTCTGTAAAGTAGCTTGAAAGCTCTGCTATGAAAGAATCAAATCAAATCAATTGACATGTAGGAAAGAATCATGACTTTGAAGTGATTTTTTTAATTAAGCGGTGTTTTTTCATACAAAACAAAGTACTAATAATGTCCTAATAGAGTAAAGGGTTACCGTCTTCATCCTGTCTAGCTTAAATTCAGATTTTTCTGTAAGTCAGTAGAGACTTTGCTCCTTTCTTGGGACATCCTACACCTGACCTAAAATACTTGTTCCTATGCATACTGTTGCAACAGATTATACATGCATACATCCATCCCTTTGCCTACACCTATGCTTATGCCTATGGCTATGCCTATACCTACAGCTATGCCCACAACTATACCCACACTTATACCTATACCGTCTGTATGCATCTATATATCTCTGGGAATTAGGGATTGCTTTGATGGGTGTGTTTAGAAGACTGACAAATCTGGTGAGTTTTAAGCTGTTTGAATTAATAAATGAACAATGCACTTGGTGCTGGTGGGCAGTTGTCAGCAACATTATTCAATACCTGTACTTATACAAAATTATTACACAATCATACTCTAAATTAGCTCTGGGTATATAGTACCATGGAATTGATGCCATATAGTGAGTCCACATGGCCAGACTGCCTGGTGGTTTCTTGTCCTGAGGTCATGGTGAGTGGCCTGGAGAGATCTGCAGAGAGAAACATCAGAATCAAACTATTTGTTTTCTTTCTTCTCAAGTTGTCCTTGGTCATGCCAGTTTTTACACTATTGCCCTCTCCTCCCAGAAACAGCAGGGGTTATCTTTTCTGCTTGCTGTGTTGCTTATTTTGCTTTCTCTTGTCTTGACACACATCCTTCTTGCGTATTGGGGAGGATGCCCTGTCTCTTTGCATGATCTTGTGCTAATCTTGTCCTTTCTTTCACCACTTGCATGCCTCCTATGTGCAATTTCGCCCACCTTTGCCTTTTGGATGATCATATCCTTATCATATCCTCATATCCTTATTTGGCTGACAGTACTATAAAAAAACTTACTTGCTATTGCTGTATCACTTTAGTACACCTATATTCAGGTTCAAGACAAGCTAATTTTAATTTAATCCTCATTAGCACATTTATAAGTTGTAGGTGACACGGGCCTCTGCTTTGGCTACAAGGCTGACTCACCTATGAAAATCCACCAATTCCCGACAGAGTGAGAGGGCTGTAGTTTGCAGCAGAAAGATTCCTTCAAAATCCAGAGGACATTTGAAGTGTTTTCCTGGGTTACTCAGAGTCAGAGCACTTGGGTAGTTAACTCCATGGCCTGGCAGAGCCAGAATGACTCTAGAGGCATCCTTGTTAGAGTTCTATGACTCCAGGTGGATGACTGTCTTAA